AAGAACAGTTTCCAAGTCTTCAACAAGACTGCTTAGATAACATGAACCCCTTAAAAAAAAAAAAAAAACTTCCAAAGATGCAATTTTCTTTGGGAAGAAAAGCCAAAGTGGCTCATATCAGCCAGCTTTGGCTACCTTGACCTTGAAGCTGGGGCCTCTCTGAGCAAGGGTGAGGGAACAGGGCATCACAAGTTGGCAACTAAACCATTTCTGACATATAAGACCATAGAGAAACCATTACAGGCCCCCATCAGAGACAACCCCCTCTGCCCAAGGGAGAGGCAACCAACTCCACATTCTTCGAAGAAACCACGTGTAGAAAATGTGCCCCGACTGGTTCCTAACCAGGACATCTACCTCTCCTCATCTACCTCTGGCAGGGGTGTAGTGGTGGCAGCAAGAGGTCAGAGCCCTCCAGTCCCAAAGCCTTCCCAGACAAGATCACAAATGATCCACATTTTGAAAGGGAGTCAGCTTCCTTCTGTCCAAAACCCCAAATATGAAAAATGGCAATCAGAGTTGTAGGAAGTCATGATTCTGCAAGACAATCATTGGATCATACCCCAGCTTACCACCTATTAGTCAGCCCCCGAAGTGCCAGTTTGAAATAATTTGAAAAGCAAAGCAACTTGTGGCATAAAAGGTGCATTAACTCTAAATGAAAAGTAGAATAAAAAAAGGAAAAGGAATTAGTTTTGCAACATACACATAACCAATCACGTCAGCGAAGGGTTGTTTGTAGAAAGCTTCATCTGCCACCCTAGACAGCAAGAGATCCAAAAGGCAGGCAAGCAGGCAGGAAAAAAGAGAGAACATTGAGAAGCAGAAACATCTCAAATCCACAATAGAGGCACAACTTCTCTGGGAAAGCTGTTCCCATGGCTCTATCCTAACCCAGCAAGGGTTCCAGCGCTGGAGACTCCAGCAGGCACTGTTTCCTGCTGGCCTGCTCCACGGGGATTCTCCCTTTGCCTTACCTCAGCCACAACAAGCATTTCTTAAGAACCTACTTATGGGCTAAGCCCGTTTACAGTCACTATGTTGGTTCAATTCTCAACCCCAGCAACCTAGGACATACTAAGTGTTCTCACTTTACAGATGAGGTAATGGAAGCCTACAGGTGAAGCAACTTATTCAGCAGTAAGGCAACGGGCAGAACTCCCAACCAAAGCTGCCTGGCTATTTTCACTGCATATTAATACTTCCCAGCTGGTGTAAGCCATGTCACCCTCCTGCCAGGCTCAGTCACTATCACTGGGTGTACCAGACAAGCCAGGTCCCAAAGTCAGTTTTTTCTTGCATTATCCAATTACTGCTTCCCCACACTGGCTGGGTGGGATCAATTTCCAGTATCTTAGGAACCCATATGGCCACTTCAAAAGTCCCACCTTAGAGAAAAAAGCAGCTGGAGGCAAGTGGTTTAGTGGAAAGAACTGCAGATTAGGTTCTGGCTCTGGGTTACTGTGTCCCTGAACAGACTGTCTGCCTGTTCAGTCCATGCCAGACTTGACTGCTTTAACAAGGTGAGGCCCAGAAGCCAGCACTTAATTCTTTCTTAACTCTCACTCACATCAGGAATGTATCAGAATGGCAGGGCTCTGAAACAAAAAGGAAAGAGCAGAATGCTGAGTGGAGGAGTTTACACCACGGAGGACAGGCTGGCCACCTCGTCCACTGTGGGTGGGCAGGGAACCTCCCTCAAGGAGCCTTACCCTGTCCTTTGCCAGGTCAGTCTGGGACACAGGCGTGGAAGGGACATTTTTTTTAAAGGACAATCATGCCTGGTTATTAACAAACTCACATATTTATTTGAAGGGAAATGCTAGTGATTTTTTATTTTTAAACTCACACATACCCTTTCTTCTTTACCATTTTGGTTTTTATATGGAAGTGTTCTGTGGAAATTTAAAGAAAGTAAAAATAACAGCAAGATTGTAACTCGCAGTGAGTCAGTAGGAAAACAGTTGTTTATGGGCAAAGTAAGTGTGAGGGAAAGGAAAGGTAGGCCAGCTTGTAAACCCATAATCCTTTCAGTTTTCACAAAGACTAAACCTAATCAATTTCAACTGTGTTTTGCTTCTGCTGGAAGAAAATAAAGGTTTAATGACTCCTGTCAAGGCATCACTAAGACAACAAAAGCCTGAATATCAGGCTTTGGCTCCTTTGCAGCTAGCCCCAAAAGTGCTGGTCTGTGACAGCACTGCTCTGTCATGATTACAGACCCAGGACAAATGGAAAATCTCATACAACAAACACAGACGGCCCTCCACCTGCTTGTTCTTCACCCCCCAGATAGAGGGGCCTCAGAGCAGCAATCCTCAGGCAGGCAAGGCAGGAAGGGGCTCAGGGAAGCCTGGGAGATGAGGGGGGGGAATGCTTTCGGGCATCTTAGGAGGCTGATACTCACGAGGGCATGGAAAAATGTTTGCCTCACTGAGCATCACGGATTCCCCAAACTTTTATAAGCCTTGAGAAAAGTGAAGCTAAGTCAGTACCAAAGCTACCTATAAAAGGGGGAATGTTTGTTATGGTTTAGGAAGGGACATGGTCTGGGGTTGTTCTATAGGAAAAAACTCCTCTGACTGGCTACTATGAAAAGAGAATTCTTTTCTATGTGCTGTCCCTTAATTCATGGCTCTTGTGCAGTGACATTTAGGCCCCAACTCAGGATAAAAGGAGGGAGATGCAGTCTGAGGACTGACAGACTAGAGATGCTGTGACAAGGTCTGTTGACTGTTCTGCCCCCTGTACGGTGCCTGGCACAGATGTGCTCTGAAGGCTTCAACGGAGGCATCTGGAAGCAGAAAGCCTGAGATACTTGCATTAAAATAGGCCCTTGCTACCCGGAGTCTCCTCTTTCAAACTTCCCTGCCTTATCTTTGTGGTCCCCCTTAAAACATCCAGTTGCTGCAAGAATCACCCAGTAAGAATGAGAATGCTTGAATTGAGCACCCTCGTTTTCTTTCCTCAAAATATTCACTATTTACCTGTAGACAGACAATGAGAAAGATAAGTCACTTTAAACAGATAATTGAGACTTCTTTAGTCCCATGGGACTCTAATGTTTGAGTCAAGCTTAAATGGGGGAAGGGAGAGCCATAAGCAATGTCGAAATCTCCAGGGGAGGAGGGTGTATACCATTGGAAGAAGTTCCCAAAGTGGTTCTATAATGGCTTCCACCTCAGCCACTGAAGAATTGGCGTGAAGTGTAAAAACCATCCCTGGATCCTTGGTGACAGTGGCTAGTGCGGCACTAGCTTTACACACTGAGGGTCAGCCCTGTCTGTGCTGCAAGGTTTTTACAAGGCAAGTGATCTGGTTTCTAAACAGTTCTACATTTCCAATGAGTGGTTAAGTTTAACTCTTCCTCTCTCTGGTACCTGAAATTCATCTCTGAGACTATCCAACCCAACATCCTCAAATTCTACGTAAAGAAAAGTACACCAAGCCCTAAATCAATGCCCAGATGGACTAAACCTTTAAGACTAAGCTCCTAAAAACAGGTGTAATCAGTCTCTTCAAGGACAATCGATTCTGTATACAGACAGAAGGGATTCAGTTTAGCAAAACTGGCTTGAAAAAATTTCTGCAATGGGAAACCTATCCCCAACATAATATTTTAAGTCTGAGAATCTGAATGTCAACTTGCTTAAGCCTCAGGGACCCTGAACAGGGAGGGTCAGCCCAGTTTTGCCAAGTACTTCAGAGCAGACTGATAGGCTAAGGCAACACACTAGGGTAAACAGCGTCTTATACAAAGCACCCACTCATCTCTCTTTAGAGCTGTGAACTCACAGCTGGGGGAAACTATCTTGAATAAGCAAAAGATAAAGAGGCCTGGCCTGTCAGCACTTCAAAGCGATCACAAGCTCAGCAGAAGCCCCCAACCTGAGAGCAGTCCCACCATACTTATCACAGAACTTCAAACGGAACCAGTAAGCACAGAGAATGCATCCACCACAGGAAGGTGGCCAGGACAGAGGCTCAAACCTGGCATCTGAGGGGCAAATGACAGAACCAAGGATGGCCAACAGGAGATCACTGAAGACTGCTACATAAACAGTCCATCTGTTCTACCAGGGTTGCCCCACAATGGCCCTGGCTGGCAAAGCCATCAGCTCCCTCTTTTTTGGCAAATGTCCATATAATAGAGCTGACAGAGAGATGGGCACTTAAACCCACTTCTGCCTCTGAGGATAGAAGCCTAAGACTCTTCACCTTGAAAATTAAAACTATCCCCAAGACCTGTCTTTATACTGAAGTGAGTGAAGTCAATCCAGCAGGGAAAGCAAGCCCACGGACACCGTGGCGAGCAGCACTGCCTCTGCCTCTCTGAGCCAATTCCTCATGGATGCTAGGCATGCAGCATTAAGGACACAGCTACTGGTCAGTGGGGATACGAGAATGTTTCCTCCAACGACTCAAGAGCATTTTTTTAAAAATCAACTCAAGATTTTTTTAGACACAAATAAATACCCAGAGAACCCTTAATTCTGAAGTCGCTGTGTTGGACGACCTTCTTTGGCTACCTAATTACTAATCACATTTTCCCACTAACAGACTCCTCTGTGAAGCAGCTTTCAGAGGGCAGGGTTATAGTTAGGGAATACAACATGATGAAATTTATCATCATTTCCAGTGGACTAAGATCCTGGTATTATAGTCATGAAACGGCCTTTCCTTTCAGGGTTACATCTTTACACATGGACCTGATCCATGAAATAATTTTTCCTTTGCTGTATCATACCATTACAGGTGGTACATATGAATCAAACTCTTGGTTGAAGAGCTAAACTCACTATAACTGGGAAGGCTAACAGCTAAATTATGCTCACATGAACCAAGAGACTTGCAACCTTTATTTCAAGCATTTTTCGAAAACCTGCGAACACATTTCACACTGAAAGAGATATTAGCAGCTGAGAACCTATCCTGGCTTTGGAAATGGATTTGACTCAATCTTGGAATACAAGCTGTGCCAAGAAGCACCATGGACTAACCTGTTGTTTGCTTTTGTTTTTTGTAACTGCTCATCCTGCCTCGCATACCACTCTTCCAGCTCCTTTATTGCTTTTTCTTTCCACTCTGCTTCTTGCTTCCGAGAGTTGGCATCTTTGAAAGAAAGGAAAAACAACACAAATGAAACAAAACCTGTGCAAATGTATATTGGGAGAATAGTCAGGAGGGAAGAAAAAATTCTATTTTTCCCTGTTTGTATATCCAGTTCTTGACCTCAGTGATTCTATCCAAGGTGTTTCACCACATTTTATCCCAGTCCCCTGACACTATCACTAGTTGGTAGTTTTTGTTTTTTTTCTTTAGGGCTTTAGGAGGGGCGGCCAGGGGGTGGGGGGGGCACAAGAGTGGAAATACTGGCTTCTAATAGAAACAAGCCTTTGGGGGCACCAACTAGGGAAAAAGCAATTACAGATTTTTTTTTCTTTTTTGGTTAATCCTCATGGAGGATATTTTTTCCAATGATTTTTGAGAGGGAGGAAAGGGAACTGAAAGAGAGAAACATTGCTGTGAGAAAGACACATCAATTGGTTGCCTCCCACACATGCCCTAAGGGGATCGAAACTCCTGGCCAGGAATCCAATCCATGACCCTCTGGTGTGCAGGCTGACACTGTAACCACTGAGGCACACTGGTCAGGGCTACAGATGATTCTTTAACAATGCTGCCAATATCAGTTCAGGGTTGGCTATTCATATTAGATAATCCTTTTTAAAAATATATCTTTGCTTTCAGAGAAGAAAGGGGAGGGGGAGAGAGAGAGAGAGAAACATCAGTGATGACAGAGAACCATTGATCGGCTGCCTCCTGCACGCCCCACACTGGGGAATGAGCCTGCAACCCAGGCATGTGCCCTGACCAGGAACTGAGCCGTGCCCTCCCGGTTCACAGGTTGACACTCAACCACTGAGCCATGCCAGCCAGGCCATATTAGATAATCTTTTAACAAAATCTCACAATTTATATTCCACACCTGAGGTTGAAAATTTTTCTATAAAACACAAGATGGCACTCTCTTAACTAAATATGGTAGAAGCACCTCTATGAAGCAGAATGCTATTAGGAAAATGACCAGAGGTAGAGAAGATTTAGGAACCAGGGAACAGTAGAATATAGATGTTCGAGTTGGGAGGACTGCAAAATATTTATCCCTGCTTAGACTGCACAGTGAGTTTGTGACAGAGCTAACGAGAAACTCCAGTGGAGTGAACTGCAGGGCATTGGGGATCATTATTAGCAGTTATTCACAAAGGTTCCAGAAATTAGAGAAAATGCACACCCAGCAGGAAGTTTTTCGGGTTTAAATATGGGTTTTCCTAACATTTAACTAAAATAAAGAGACACATGACAGTAGATAGGAGAAAAGGCAGTATGCCACAGCCACTGCCGCAGTTGACACCTCAAGTTACCCAGATACTTCACTTGAAAACATGCTCTTAAGGACATCCTTTCTCACTTAATCTTTACAACAATCCCATGAAGGTAAACTGTAGTCTCATAGTCAGCAAAGAAAAACTACAGCTCAGAAAGTGAGAAATCATTATAAAGGTTACAGTGAGTGACAGAACCAAGACTCAAACCCAGGTCTGGCTGTAAAGCTCACATATTCTTACTTCATTATGCTGCCTCCAGGGGCGGGACAGAAAGGGAAGCAAGCCAAGAAATAATCTTAAGATGAGCCTGAAGGTGGCAGCCACTGGTCCAGACTAACGTTTGGACAGTAGAGAGCCAGAGCCCACCCTGTAATTAGTATCCTCAAGGGGAGAGTATAAAGCAGTGGTGATGACAACCATTCAAGGGAAGAACTGAAGCATTTGAGGGCATTTTAGGGACTTTGCAAAAAATGTCTTGTAGAAACAACCTGCAGAAAGCAGTAACTGCTAGAAACAGCCTGAGAGCATCTAAAAACCCCAAGTTTCACATTATAAAAGAACTTTCACCCTGTTATCTAACTTATCAGATGGTGACCTATTGCTCAGAGGATAATTATTTTACTCAGATTTTCCACTGATGACTCAGTATATAAACTTCTGGTGCATGTCTGTCCACGTCACTAAGTGTATGCGGAATGGAGGACGCTATGATGCAATGGGAGATGCTGAGGGTTGCCAGTGCCATGTGGGCAAGAAACTGGAAAATACTATTTTCAAAATGTAAGGTCTCCTTTTCAAGACTGGTGAAATTACTTCCAAAAAACTGCCCTTTGATTGAGGAGTATTTTCTTTCTGTGTAGTCTGATAACTTTTTAAATGTTATTACATTAGTAGGAATAAAATATCATGGAAATTTACTCAAATTTTTGTCTAAATAAAAACTGTTACCATCTGTACAAACTAGGTTCTGCATAAAACAGTCCTTTAAATTGTCTTCTTTTACAGATTTATGAAGTGACACTGGCAATAAGAATTTAGAATTCTTAAACGTTTAGCTTGATGAGACAACTATCCAAGCCATAATACAATCTCTGAGTATGGAAGAGAGAAGAGGGAAGGATAAAGAGTCCCCTTAGAAAGCAGGGCACACTGACAGCTGTCTCCTTTGGCCATCCTCATTACTATTCACAGAAAAGCAAATTATTTCACAACAGCCAGTAGCTAAGCTGCAAACCAGTGACACTTGGTTCTCTATTCTTAGCATTTTGTGCCTTCTCACAGTTCTTGCAAAGAAAAAAGGTGAAAATGAAGAAACACCTAGTTCATGGATCAATCTAATTCAGTTCAGTTAGAATGTAAGGTCAAATGTTTGACTTCCCTCAGGAAGATATCTTCAGTTAAGAAGACAATACACTTCATGGAATATTTCCCAAATGTTCAATTTGATAATTGAAGAAGAAAATGCAATTTTCACAGACACTAAAGTGAACACTCTCCACAAACAAGACAACTTTGCTAAACTTTGGGAAAAGATTAAGTTGGGTTCTGTAACATGAAAAATATCTAGTAGTAGCAATACCAGTTAAGTCCTGCCTCTAAGCCTACTAAGAAGAGATATACAAAGAATAAGCAAGGGCTGAGGCGGCCGGCACCATGAAGACCTATTTTCATCTACCTAAAGCTGTACCCTCCAGTAGAGTAGCTATTAGCCACATGTGGCTATTGAAGTTTATTAAAATTAAATAGTTTCTCAGTCATACAAGCCACATTTAAAGTGCTCTATAGCTACATGTGGCTAGTGGCTGCCACACCGAACAGCACAGATACAGAGTATTTCCATCACTGCAGAAATAACTAGTGGATAGTGCTGTAAAGGTTCAAACATAAGTGTGCCCAGTATTTGAGTCACATAAATTGGGCTGGAGAGGCAACAGATTTTACATTAATTGGCTGTGTTATCAGGGTCACAACCCTTCCTATTTCTAGGTGTCAGTTACCCCATCTGAAAAATGAGTCATGTTTTTACGAGTTCAGTGGTGTCTAGGAAGGAATAATGCTGACACTGTGGTTATAGAGAAGAATGTTATATTTCTAGATTTACAATAAAATATTTAGGCATGAAGTATATGATGTCTGTCTCTTAAAGTGGACCAGAAAAAGTATGTGATTGTATATTTACAATACATGTATCTTCTTTCAACTATTCTGTTTGAAATTTTAGTAAAAAGCTGAGGGGAAAAAAATACCCACACTCTGCCATACTCTCTAACCCGCATATACAGATACCAAGTCTCTCCTGATCTTGCCCAACAGCTGACACTTCATGTACACAGAGAGCCCTTCACGTTAGGCCAGGCTGGCTGGCGCTGATCTTAGGCTTGGCCTGCCTAACGAGATGGTGTATACTAAATGCAATGTGGCTGAAGGGATGGGTATGGACTCTGAAACAGGGCAGACTTAAGCTGAAATTCGGACTCTACTTCTTATCTGTGTGATTAAAAAACTTATTCTACCTATGCTTTTCACTTTCCTCACCCACAAAAGTGTAAAAACTTACCTTTCAGGGATATGAGGGTAAGAAAAACAAATTGTATGTTTTCTAACATAGCTCACATTTTCCTCTTAAGCGCTACTTCAAGTTTACAAAGCGCTCTCATAAATACCATTGCAGAATTCCCAGGGGATTGGTAACACTGATCTTACTCCTCTCAGATGAAGAAACAGATTCTGCAAGGTTTGTGCAAGAAAGTGTGCACAGTTGGTAAGGGCTAAGGCTGAGCCTTGAACCCAGTCTTCTCACTCCACGTCCCCGGCTCCCTTCCCTAGCACCACTCTGGTCTTCTTGAGAGGAGAGGATCTACTGGCTGCTTTCGGGCTGCCCTAATCCTTACACAGTAGCCTGTCATTAAAGATCTCCACCTGAGTAGCCTTGTGACCTTCAGGTTTAGAAAGATTATCATCCCAAACACTAGACAAGGACATAATGGCTAATTCAAGTGAAAAAGGAATAAAAGGAGAGTCAAGGTCAACTATTCCACTGAAAACAGATACCCAAAGACAGAAAGGGATTCCTTACCAAGGGCTTCCAAGCGTTCCATTTGCTCTTCTCTCCATTTACGGATACTTTCAGGCTCTGATTGCAATCGATCCACTTGTGAAATAGCTGCGTAACTGTCTGTCGGACCATTACTCTCCTTAACACAAAACATAATTGTACTCTATCAGTACCAAAAACTCCTTCCTGAAATGCACTTCATCGAAGTTAGAACCCCTGGTTATGTACAGCACTAAAGATTGTTAAAATGTTGAAGGATGACCTTAATACCAATAACACAACCTGATAGGGAGCTTTCAACATTACCACACTTAATCCTTACAGCCCAGGAAGAGGCAGAGTAGTTGTTATCCTATCTGTTAATAAATGGGACATGAGTGGGAGATAGGAAAGTCAGGGAGGTGAGTAATGGAGTTACTGGGAAACAGTGTTATCAGTTTTTGTTTCCTGACTTGACACAGAGATTAGGTGATATTTTCAAAGTAACAAAGGTAAGTACATAGTAGAGCACGGTTTAGACCTTAAGACCTACATGCTATTACACAATGCAGGAAATAGTTCACTTAATACCACCTTCATCAAAATATAGTGAATTTGAGAAGAGTCCAAAAGAAAATGTATAGTTATACATCAAGGAAAAAAATAAAAAGGGAGGCAATCGTGGGGCGTGCATGCACGTGCACAGACTGCTCTTTATAGTGGGTTAGATTTGGGAGCTAATAAACAAACTGACAAAAACTCAAACAGAACTTAATCTCTAGAGAATTATTCTAACTAGACTATCTACAAAGGTGGAAAAATTTATTTAAAGTATTAGTAGTAACTAACTTATTAGCATTTTTCATGTATCAGGCACATAAAAGCTCTCTTCCCCAAACACCTTGCAAAGCAAGTTTTTATTCCCATTTCACAGCTAGGGAATTAAACTGAGGCACAAAGAAATGACAGGTCCAAATTCATAGCTAGTAAAGCAGGGGTGAGGAACATTTTTTCTGCCAAAAGCCATTTGGATATTTGTAACATCATTCACAGGCCACAGAGAATTATCAACTTAAAAATTAGCCTGCTGCCTAGCCAGTGTGTTTCAGCTGGTTGAGTGTTGCCCCATGCACCAAGAGGTCACAGGTTCCATTCCTAGTTGGGGCACATGCCCAGATTGCGAGCCTGATCCCCAATAGGGGGAGTACACGAGGCAGCCCATCAGCGTTTCTCTCTCCCCCTCCCTTCCTCTCTAAAATAAAAACATATTTAAAAAAAATCAGCCAGCTATATTTGGTCAAACATTTAATTAACTCACCCCTAATGCTTTGGCAGGGCCAGTTCGGGCCTTATATGGCCTGCTGGCTGGACTTTCCTCATCCCTATAGTAAGGATAAAGCCAGGATCTAAACCCCATTCTATTTCACTCTAAAGGCCAATCTCTAAACCTTGGATCGGAAACTACAAATCAGGAGGCCTGCCACCTGTTTTGTAATAAAATTTTACTAAAACACAGCTAAGCCCATTCGTTTATGGACTGTCTATGGATGCTTTAAACTGGAGCAAAAGAGTAGTTTGACGGACCTTATAACTCACAAAGCTTAATATCTTTACTATGTGGCCCTTTATAGAAAAAGTAAAATTAGTTCACCCTTGGTTTAAAAGGTTCAACTGCTGGCCCCACCACATACTTACTGCCTTTGTTACTTTAGATCAGTGGTCAATAACCTTTTGTACCTCACGGACCACCAGTGGTCTGCGGACCACTGGTTGGCGACCGCTGTTTTAGACTACTGATTTAACCTGTGTGCCTCAATTTATTCATCTGTAACACAGGAATAACAACAGTACAGGTCCCTCGCATTGTTGGGAGAATTAAATAAGTATAAACAGTGCTTCATAGCACATCACAGAGAGTGTTTAAATTCACCGCAGCCTCCATCATCATCATCATCATCATCAAGGTTCATTTCTTGAGAATAAAGCTGGTTAACACTAGGGCCTGGTCAATAACATTTTTTAAAAAAAGCTCTATATAAGTGTCACTTCTCTTCGAATCCTTCTACTTTGGCAGGTAACATACCAGCTATTAATATATCCAGGAAAATCAAGGGAGTGGGGTCCTTCCTGAATCAGTCCATTCAAATTACAGGAAAGGAAGACTCTTGACCACTATAATTCAACACAATTAAGAGTACTCTGTACCTGGTAGTATTCGCCATTCATCACTCCATCAACACCATCTGCAAGACATAAGATTGCAATTTGTCAATCAGGGCTGGTCAAATGCTGAGCCAAAAGTGGTTTACAGAGTAAAATATAGTATTATATGTAGTAAGTATTCTAAGTTACTCCTATCTCTCTATCTCTCTCTCTCTCTCTCTCTCTATATATATATATATATATATATCCTATCTAATAATAGAAAAACATGGTAATTGACCACACCTTCGCTATGCTTCCCATTGGCTAATCAGGGCGATATGCCAACGAAGATGGTGGTTAATTTGCATACGTAGGCGCAATGCTCAGGAGGCGAAAGGGGAAGGATGGAAGAAGCCGCCTTCCGCTGACGGTGATCGGAAATCCAGGGGGCAGGCAAGAGCCAGGTGGCCCCCGGACCGTGATTGGGAGAACCAAGGCCGCCTTTGCCTGCCCCCCAACCCCCCCCCCACCGGTGAGGAGAATCCGGGCGGGGTAGGGAAGAGGTGGCCACCAGCAGCTGCCTCTTCCCGCCCCCCTGCCCCAGCCAGTGTTCAGAGAAGTACCTGTATTTTTTTTTTCCAAAGTACCTGTATTTTTAATAATTTCTTGACATGGTAAAAGAATTTTACATTACGATCCAAGGGTGGTGGGGTGAAGAGAAGGAGCAGCAGAACAATCCAACAAACAAAAAGGGAAACAGAAATGCATGGTGGAAGGGATTTGAAGGGTGGGTAGGGGCATTGCCCAACTAAAATGCAATTGGTTTGTTGCTGAGTACTATTCATGGGAAGACAGCATCCCGACTCCTTCTCTATACAGCATATTGGGAGTAAAAATGATGCAGCCAGGTGGAAATATGATTAGGGGTTGGAAGACAGACAGGGAAAGAAGTAGTCAGAAATAGACACTGAGAGAGTCACTGGCTGGCTGGCTGCAAATACTGACTCTCCAGTAGTGATAGAATAAAAAAGTGGGGGATATTTCTGGAAGATTCAAGAGATAGGGGGCAACTCTTCTATGGTTTTAACTTGCCCAGCAGATTTCCACATACACACGTGTACACGCCTGTGTTTGCATGCACACACATATACACATAACTGACTGCCCTCCCTGGAAGCACAGAAGAAGAAGCCACCCGCCCGAGGTCCCGGGCTGCAGCCACCCAGAGAAGCTGCCAGCCCTGTGGTCCAGGGCGGCAGCACCTGTGGCCAGGGAAATAGGTTCCCTCTTCTCCTACTGCAGTTATTACTTCAGTATTCCCCTTCTGAATTTCTCTCCTGTGCTACAACCCAACTCCACTTTTCATCGGAAGGATACGGAACAGAGAGAGCAGTGTTAAAAGCTTACATTTTTAAGCCAGTAAGGTTGGTACTTAAACATATAAATGGAAAACTAGAGTCCTTAAGGTAACAAAGGCTACAAAGGAAGGGACAGCACATGACCTATTATATCCAGCAATCCATATGGGGACTGAAAACTTTGCAATGATGACAATTAGTGAAGATATGAATCAACTAAAATAGTTGAGAGGGACAATTCTTCCATCTTTGAAAATATCTACATCAAATCTGTTTAAATAGATTTTCATCTGCATAATATAACACATTCTGACAAGACCACCATCACCACTAATGTGGTCAGTGTTGTGCTGATAAATGTTTAATAACTGAGGAACCCCCGCCCCCCGAGTGCACAAATTTTTGTGCATCAGGCTACTAGTGTGTGTGTGTGTGTGTGTGTGTGTGTGTGTGTGTATCCTCTAATCTAATAATAGATAAACATGGCAATTGACCACACCTCCACTATGCTTCCCATTGGCTAATCAGCAGGATATGCAAATTAACCCAACCAAGATGGCGGCCGGCGGCCATGCAGCTGAAGTGAGCAGGAGACTTGCTTATTCCAGTGATGGAGGAAGCCAAGCTTCCTCCCTGCTGCAGCCGGGCTCTGAGCTCCACTCTAAGCAACAAAGTTGCAATTATAGACTCTAAACAAACCCCAGATACCTGCTTTCAGCAGGCCGTGGCCTCAGAGCTGGAGTGGCAACAAAGTTTCAATTATAGAAGGTAAATAAATCCCAGAGTAAAAAAGAAAAAAAGGAGAGGTTGGGAGCTTCAGTCGCCGGCTTGGCCAGCCTGAAAACAGCCCTCAGCCCCTCATCCAGACTGGCCAGGCACCCCAGTGGGGACCCCCACCATGAAGGGGGTGTGACCAACTGCAAACAGCCATTAGCCCCTCACCCAGGCTGGCCAGGCACCCAAGCAGGACCCCCACCCTGATCCAGGACACCCTTCAGGGCAAACCAGCCGGCCCCCACCCATGCACTAGGCCTCTATCCTATATAGTAAAAGGGTAATATGCAAACTGACCCTACCAGCAGAAAGACTGGGAATGACTGGTCACTATGACACACACTGACCACCAGGGGGCAAACGCTCAATGCAGGAGCTGCCCTCTGGTGGTCAGTGGGCTCCCACATGGAGGAGCTCTGCTCAGCCACAAGCCAGGCTGATGGCTCCCAGTACAGCGGTGGTGGTGGGAGCCTCTCCTGCCTCCTCAGCAGCGCTAAGGATGTCCGACTGCAGCTTAGGTCTGCTCCCCGCTGGCAAGTGGACATCCCCCAGTGCTGCCGGGCTGCTAGAGGGATGTCTGACTGCCAGCTTAGGCCCGATCCCCCCTGGGGAGCAGGCCTAAGCCAGCAGGTGGTCATCCCCCGAGGGGTCCCAGACTGCAAGAGAGCACAGGCCAGGCTGAGGGACCCCCCGAGTACACAAATTTTTGTGCACCGGACCACTAGTATATAATAAAAGCCTAATACGCTAAGTGTCCGGTTGTCCAATCAGCCAACCAATCAAAGCATAATATGCTAATGATATGCTAAGGCCGCTCAACTGCTCACTGACCACCAGGGGGCAGACGCTCCGACTGGTAGGTTAGCTTGCTGCTGGGGTCTGGCTGATCCAGACTGAGCAAATCGGGCTGCACACACCCTAGAGCGGTGGTTCTCAACCTTCCTAATGCCTCGACCCTTTAATACAGTTCCTCATCTTGTGGTGACCCCCAATTTCATTGTTACAAATTGAACATAATTAAAGCATAGTGATTAATCACAAAAACAATGTAATTATATATGTGTTTTCCGATGGTCTTAGGCGACCCCTGTGAAAGGGTCGTTCAACCCCCAAAGGGGTCGTGACCCATAGGTTGAGAACCGCTGTCCTAGAGCCCTCCCGTAGTCCCTCTCCCTGGCCTACACACTTCCAATCCGGGCTGAGGGACCCCCCCCCCCCCACGCCGAGTGCACAAATTTTGTGCGCCGGGCCTCATGTGTGTGTGTATACATATAATTGATTTCAGAGAGGGAGAGGGAGAGGGAGGGGGAGAGAGAGAAACAGCAATGATGAGAATCACTGATCAGCTGCCTCCTGCACTCTCCACACTGGGGATCAAGCCTGCAACGAAGGCATGTGCCCTGACCGGGAATCAAACCGTGCCCTCCTGATTCATAGGGTGATGCTCAACCACTGAGCCACAATGGCCAGGCTACAATCCAGTCTTACTGACACAACTATTATTATTTTTATTATATTTTATTGATTTTTTACAGAGAAGAAGGGAGAAGGATAGAGAGTTAGAAACCTCAATCAGCTGCCTCCTGCACACTCCCTACTGGGGATGTGCCCGCAACCAAGCTACATGCCTTTGACCGGAATCGAACCTGGGACCCTTCAGTCCGCAGGCCAACGCTCTATCCACTAAGCCAAACTGGTTAGGGCCTGACACAATTATTTATAACCAAATGAGAAAGTCTACCTCAGAAATATAAAAAATGCCTAAGACCTAGAGCTGGGGTGGGCAACCTTTTTGTGAGTGCGTGCCAAAACCAGCAAAATCTCTGACTCAAAATTCTTCTGCGTGCCAACCCTAATTTTTTGAGAACATGTTACACCTACTTGATATCTCTTAAGGTGTATGTATGTGAAGAACCTTGAAGAAATAAAATTCATTCTAGCGACAACAACACGGTATATGATGATGAAAAATACATTTTTTAAATGTATACATGTACACTGATAGTCCGACAGAAAACTTTATGACTCCGTTTGATATTATCAGTAGGACATTTGTTGCTGCATCACTGATGACAGAGATTTTACATCAGGTTTATATTTCGTGACCTTCAGAGATATGCACGAGCTACTATTCTGAGCCATCAGGCTACTCCTATTACGAGACTTAACAAAATTCCTCACTGAGAACAGAGATTCACAAGCATATGTGGATGAAACCAAAACACTGGTCGGATCTAGGAAGGCAGGGAGAGTTAAGGCAGAGGCATAGAAATTGCTCTTCCCCTCTCTCATCAGTCCATGTCTATGGTCTTTAAGATAACTTGTTATGTAAAATTATTTATTTATCTAAGATGCACCTACACTGAATTTACCTGAAAAATAAAAAAGTCGATATTAAGAAAAAAATTGTAAATGGAAGATTATAAGAGAGGGTTTTGCGTGCCAGCACAAGTTACTGGTGTGCCATGTTTGGCACGCATGCCAGGGGTTGCTCATCCCTGACCTAGAGACTATCAATCCACATAGTACAAAATGGTGGCCCATATGCTGAACATACTTTAAAATATAAAGTACTAAGTTAGAAAATTCCACAAGATCAGGATTTCCATGTTTGGGGGAAGGGGCAGGCAAACAGAAGATATGGCAATAATGGGGCTGCATTCCTGAATTGGTAACACTGTTGGACATGAGGGTAGCCTTCATATGGAGCATGCTCTGGACAATTTGCCAGTACTCCTTAGCCCCAACTTTTTTTAAAAGATATTCAAACTGATTTTAGAGCAAAAGGAAGGGAGAAACACTGATGTGATAGTGAAACATCGGTCAGCTGCCTTCTGCATGCCTCCTACCGGGGATGGAGCCCAGGATCAAACAGGCAACTTTCAGGTGCATGGGGAGATGCCCAACCAACTGAGCCACACTGGCCAGGGTAAGCCCCACAAACCCATTCTGTGTTTCACTAATTTAATTACCTGACTAGTCTGATAAGCATGTGTTCCTAACCTAACCTAACCTAACCTAACCATGAGGCAGTCTCTACAGTGTTGCACACCATTCCTCTGGAGTGGCTGCTCTAATTTACTTCAAAAGCCTCAAAAAAATTTAGCTTCCACCTACATAATCTGTATTCTGTATCTGTTGGTTGACCCACACTTACTAGCTAACTGGAGGCCTGGTGCTCAAATTTGTGCATGGGTGGGGTCTGATCAGGCCAGGGGGAGGGGCCAGGGAGGTCAGCTGGCTGCACTGGGCATCATAGCGATCGGTGGTTCCAGTTGCTTGGCTTTCATATATATATATATACTAGTAGCGCACCAGTACCTCGCTGCCACCCTCCAGTAGCTCTCCGCCTGCTGCCCTGCCATCCTATAGTTCCCCCCAACCCCCTTCCGCCCCTCATAGCTTGCTGCCCTGCCCCCTCCTGTAGCTCTCCACCACCCGCTTGTAGCTCGCTGCCCCACCCTCCTGCTGATCCGTGATCCAGTCGTTACACAGTTGGTTGTTATGCTTCATGGCATAACGACCATTTACATATTACATCTTTATTATATAGGATAGGTTATGTAGAACTTGCATTATTTTGACCAATTTTTTTTCAAACTGCAATGACATTTTATTGAATGGAGTAGGAGAGGAAAGATGAAAGAAGAGATGAACCTAAATGATTTAAGAACTCAAGTAATAAAAGGAATGCCAAGCACTTAGTATGGGCCACCATCAGAAGGCCCTCTGAGGGCAATATATGAAAATATTTCACACAGCTTTCCTCTAGGGGTAGGTGCTCTCAGCCTCATTCTTTCCTTTTAAAAAAAAAATAAAAATGAAAATTGATTTTTTACAGAGAGGAAGAGAGAGGGATAGAGTTAGAAATATCGATGAGAGGGAAACATCGATCAGCTGCCTCCTGCACACCCGCTACTGGGGATGTGCCCGCAACCAAGGTACATGCCCTTGACTAGAATCGAACCTGGGACCCTTCAGTCCGCAGGCCAGCGCTCTATCCACTGAGCCAAACCAGTTAGGGCTCATTCTTTCCTTTTAACAAGCAAAGATTTCATCAAACCACTCCTCTGGTCTTGATTCCTAACTAATTACAGGCATACCTCTTTTTTATTGAACTTCACAAATATAGTGTTTTTTACAAATTGAAGGCAAGACCCTCAACCATAATAAAAAAGATTACGACTGCCTTTACTGTAATGCTTGCTTTATTGCAGTGGTCTGGAATCAAACTGGCAATATCTTCAGGGAATTCCCATAAACCCAACTTTAACTGCCCATTTTCCAAATCAACACTAACATTTTATCCATTCTTTTAGTCTCTTGCTTCTCCCAATTACCATCCCCTTGGCTTTGAGAGTAATGAAAACTTTTCTCGATCATTTCCCCAGCATGTCTTCCTGATACCAAAACATTGTTTTTTAAAAAAGGAAAATGGAGACAGAAGAAAATACCATGTTAATTTCATTAACTCAACCCCTTGGTTTCTATCCTGTTGGTTTATCTAATGTGTATAGATGAAATTTTTCAGCAAAACTGGACTCCTAAAACATAACTTTTTTTCCAGTAATCCATTCTTCTATATCATTAAATTCTCAACTTTAGTAGGATGAAGACACCTACTACTTATCGCTTCTAATGTGCCAGACTCAGTATTAAACACTTGATATACATTAAGTTTTAATCCTCACACAAACTTACATGTATCAGCACTTTACAAATGACCTTAGAGTATGCATAGGGTTCCTTGAAGTAAATAAGGTATTCTTGAAGGGGCAGATAATTGATGACACTATTTTCTCTTACATTTATTTTTTTGCTTAAAGATGTAAGAAAAATATTAAATGCATGTATTATGAAATAACCAGCCTTTAAAAAGTGGTGTAATACCTGAGCAAGCCAGGAAGTCACAGGATAGATCATCTGATAAATGAACACAAACTGCAGGATCTAAGCATTTACCAGCACACTTCAGCTTTACTCTGTTTCAACTGCTGGCTATGAATCTGTAGGAGGGAGACATTGATGTGAGAGAGAAACATCCATCCTCTGTACACGCCCTAACCGGGAATCAAACCAGTAACCTAATTCTTTTACTCCTCTGCTTTATTTATGATAGTACAAAAATCAGTTTCTCATAGTTTTTGTCATGGCTTTTTATACTCCAAGTTGTTTGTGCGTCCACCTACCCATATAATTATTAAAAATACTCTATAGCCCTAGCTGGTTTGGCTCAGTGGATAGAGCATCAGCCTGCGGACTGAAGGGTCCCAGGTTTGATTCCAGCCAAGGACACATGCCTGGGTTGCGGGCTCGTTCCCCAGTACGGGGTGTGCAGGAGGCAGCCAATCAATGATTCTCTCTCATCATTGATGTTTCTCTCTCTCTCTCCTTCTCCCTTCCTCTCTGAAATCAATAAAGAAATAATAAAAAAAAAAATACTCTATAGCCCAGGCAGCATGGCTTGCTCAGTGGTTGAGCATCGACCTATGAACCAGGAGGTCATGGTTCAATTCCCATTTAGGGCACATGCCTGGGTTGTAGGCCGATCTCCAGAGTGGGGTGTGCAGGAGGCAGCTGATTCTCTCTCATCATTGTTTCTATCTCTCTCTCTCCCTCCCCCTTCCTCTCTGAAATCAATAAATAATAATAATAATGATAATAAAAGTACTTTATAAACTTTTGGAAATATAAAGTTCACCAAAAAACTAATCAAAGTATTTGTGAGGGGGTGGGGGGGATATTAAACTGAACCTCAGTAATAAATTTATTGATGTAGAATTGCTGGGCCACAGGATATACATTTTAAATTTTAAAGGTTTCTAAACACCAATCATGCGCCCCGTTTCTCAGACCTTCACTAAGACAGTTTTATAATGTTTTAAAATTTTTGCTAATTTGATAGCAAAAAAACCCACCTTAAGGTGGCTTTGTTGTGCTGATCTTATTTCCTATGAGGTAATTAAAAATCTGACATTTGATTTTCATCTTTACTGATCTGCCTGTTCTGCCCATTTTTTATCTCTAAGTATTCTCTCTGTATGAATTATTCCTCTCATACTACAAGTGTTTACCCCATTTACTTTTTATGGTTTATGATATTTAACACCTAAAACTTAACTTGTATGTAGACAATATCAATTTTTCCCTTTATGATTTCTGTAACTGTTTTTATGCTAAAGGCCTTTCCTATTCCAAGATAAATATTCACTTTTCTACTGGTACTTGAGGGGGAAAAAATCCTCTCTTTAGTCCACCCAGAATTTATTTTTGTGTAAGACAGAAAAGAGATGATTTTTAATCCTAGAGCCTACAAGCCAGATGGACATTCTGGTTAATAAATTACAGCTAACACACCAACTATTCAGTTAATATATTCCAGCCCAGGGCCATTCCCAATAGGAAAGTCTTTGATCACTATTCCATCACAAAACTAAGAGAAGTTCTCATCCCATACCTCCTAGGTCACATGCTATCTGTCCTTTGGATCTGAAGACTCTTCCAAACCCATTGGCAAATGCTTTGAACTCTGATACCTTACCACTGTACTTACATTCAACTGGCCCAAGTCAAAGGACTGTCTGTTGCTACAGAAACATGCAGAAAGGACATTAGGGCGCCTTAATTTATTAGGACAACTAAGCTAAGCAACCTGATGCTCCAAAAGGAAACTGTCTAGGGCAGCAGTCACCAATCTTTCAGACCTCACGGACCACCAGTGGTCCGCCGACACCAGTTGACGGCCACTGGTCTAGGGCATCCAGACAGAAACAAGGGTCAGAATATGATTCCAGAGATGTAAGACTCTTTGTCCCAAACCCACCTTACACCTCTCAAACCTTTGAAGTCAAGCAGACCAGGGTTTGATTACAGTAGAGCCATGTATTAGCGTAAATGCTATGTTAGGATCATTGTTTAAACTCCATGATGGTAAGTTCTCATCTGAAATAGAATGACACTACCACTTAGAACCTGGCACAAAGTAAATGAGTAGTACTACTAAATACCATGCATGAGATTTCCTTGAACTTATCAGCTTCACCACTACCAAGAAAATTATTCTCCATCTCCAGCTTTCCTTTAAAATTCATGTACCTCCGTTTCCTTCTCCTCCAAGAAAGAACCTGACAGAAACATACCACATAGTGCCTCATTGCCATACTCCTTTAGTAGCTCCTTAATCACCTCTTATTTTCCTCCCTCCTGAATGCAGGTTTTCAACAGCTCTAGAATTAGGCTGCCTCTTTCCTGACCACCTGTTCTTCCTCAGTATCTCTGGAACCACTTCACCAGGCTTGTTACCTCCCATCTTTAAACCTATGTATGCATCTTTTCCACCTCTCCTAATAACTGAGAGAATCGCCCTGGGTTTAAGCCTAATCCCTCTGGTTTCTGCCTGCCCATCCTCCATGGGCCTTTCCCCCAATGCCGGAGGAGTTCATGTGTGCTCCTCAATCTGTTAGAGCAGTGGTTCTCAACCTTCCTGATGCCGTGATCCTTTAATACAGTTCCTCATGTTGTGGTGACCCCCAACCATAAAATTATTTTCGTTGCTACTTCATAACTGTAATTTTGCTACTGTTATGAATCATAATGTAAATATCTGATATGCAGGATGTATTTTCATTGTTACAAATTGAACATAATTAAAGCATAATGATTAATCACAAAAACAATATGTAATTATGTATGTGTTTTCTGATGGTCTTAGGCAACCCCTGTGAAAGGGTCGTTCGACCCATAAAGGGGCTGCGACCCACAGGTTGAGAACTGCTGTGTTAGAGCCTCCTGCCTTTAGCAGGACACAGAGCTCCCTCCTAAAATCTGTTTCCTCAATACACTCCCTGAAAGCCCATAGGCCTTGTAACACCCTTCTCTCCCTACTTCCAAAAAATAACAGTAGCTAGGTACTGTGTGTAGTCAGTGTACTGTGTGTAAGCACCTTACAGGTGCTTTCTACTGTAACCCCAGCAACCCTATGTAGTGTGTGTTTTGCACCTTTTACAAAAGAAAAAACTGAGGCAAGGCACTGGCGGCTCCCTGGGCTGCCTGAAAAGCTCTACGGACACAAGCAGTCTAGGGCAGCACAGAATCCTGAGAGGCAGTGCGAGAGAAAAGAGGGCGGGGAGAGAGGGAAAGAAAGGGAAAAAGAGGGTGAGGAAGAGTGAGAGAAAAGGGAAAAAAGGTCTAAGTAGTTCTCTAATCCCCCAAGGAAGTGCTGACCGCTGCACTATTACCAACTCCAACTACACTGTCAGAGATCAGGCTTTAAATCACTAAATGCTTAGTTCACTAAGAAAGTCCTTCCTAGGAACTAAGTCAGCAATCATCCCTTCCTTCCCTTTGCTGAAAGCTTAATACACCAAAGACCCATGAGTCTAACTCTATTTTCTCCCTTTTATCTTTTCAAACTGCCAGTCACCAAGAATGGACATTTTTGCCCATTTTTCTGTGAGTATCTATGTCCAGACCCACTGCTAGGCACTGTGGATACAACAGTGAGCAAGAGGTAACACTGTCCTTGAATCAGGACAGTCTTCTGACTATGGGTCCTACTTCTCCCAACACTGTCCTACCCAGGGCAGCCACAACTGCTTTTCAGAAATCATATGGGGGACAGATTGGTAGGAGGCAGCATGGTATAGTATAAAAACCCAGAGACTGCAAACGAGCAGTCTCCCCACGTCCACTCCGCCCCCCCCCCCCCCGCCAAAGATTCTGCTTGGCTGGCACAGTAATTTGAGATTTCTGAGTCTGAATGCTTTTCTGAAGAGCACCATTCTAATGCGTCAAAGACTCCAACAGATAATGAGTCTCCAACACTCATTATCTCACACCAGCATGTTTCTCTCATTTACGTTAATTGCTTGGACCCTTAAAGTAACTCCCATTTGCCCCACGAGTGCCTTATTCTCCTTTAATAAGAATTTTTAAAAAGTAAATGCAAGCCCTGACCACGTAGCTCAGTTGGTTAGAGCGTCCTCCTGATATACCAAGGTTGCAGGTTCGATCCCTGCTCAGGACACATACAAGAATCAACCAATGAACGCATAAATGGAACAACAATCCATGTTTCTCTCTCTAAAACCAATCAATAAAAAAGTAAATGAAAAGCCACGTCTCACTTCCAGCTAATTTCCTCCTTCCCTATATGATTGAAAAGATTTCTGCCCCTCATCCTTTCCTCCCACCATGACAATCCGAAACATCACACACAGATAAGGCATTAAATTAAAAGGTCAAATTGGCATACCGCTTTTTGCTTGATTTTTTTTTTTCCTTGAGCTTGGCTGGGGAAAGGCCACACATCACTCTCTATCCGCCTCCTTCTCATCTTTCGTTCTGCTTAGGCAACACTGCCTATCAAAGCCATGTCCAGCGCAAGCAGAGCTCCTGCAGTCCTACCGTAATACGTTCGAAAAATGGCAAAACTCTCACCCCTCCTTGGCCGGCTTCTTTCTCCAAGGCTAGACCATCTTTCCTGAGTTTCCTGTTCACTCCTTTTTCCTCCTCATAACCCAACATTCTGTACACCGTCCGTGCTTAAGCGCATCACTGCCATTTTTGTCTGTGTGTGTCTGAAACAATACTGTTTTCTTCCTGCCCTCCTTTCCTATTAACTGGTCCCGTGCTGGGCTCGGACTGGCCTGCAAGTCGGCCAAACTGCGCCAATGCGGCGGTGCTTCCGAGGCCGGGCTCCCAGCAGAGCCAAGTGCTCAATGAACAGTCCCGGAACGGAACGAGCTCCTTCGGGCTCCTCGGCGTGACTGTCACCCTATTTGCTCTGCTTTGCTTCCTTCCTCAGCCCGCGCCCAGGAGCGCTCCCACACACCCACAGGTCGGCGTAAGCGTCCCGAGCCTAGGTTTCTTGCATGACTGGGCCGGGGTCTCGTTTCCTCTCTGCCACTCCTCAGCCTCCCGGTTCCGCAAAGAACAAGTTACACGGAGCTCTCAGATCCACTGAGGGCCGAGCTTCCAGACCAGTCCTCCCGCCCCAGACGCGCCCGCACTCTCACCCGGACTCCCCGGCGGCTCGCCGTGCGGCTGGGGCCCAGGGGCGCCGCCGTCGAGGATGGCGAAGGCCTCGTCGTTCTCGATGCCCGCAATCTCGCTCTCCTGCTGCGCCAAGAAGGCCGCGGCCGGGTCTTCTTCGCCGGCCACCCCGTTCCCCAGAGCGGGGCCGCCGGGAGTGCCGGCAGGGGCGCCGAACGGATCAAGTTCAGCCATGGCGGGCAGTTCAACGGCACAGACACCGACGCTGAGAGACACACCGACAAACCCACCGACACCGCGCCCGGCAGCAGCCTCTGTGGCGGCGACTACGCTCGGAGGACAAGCTGGAGGAGTGAGAAGGCGGAAGCGGAAATCCTTCCCCCATATCCGGTTGGTCTAGACGAGGTTGGCGAGCCGAAAAGGTAACAACCAATCAAAGGACGGCAATCGCTCACGAGCTACCCAATCAGCAGAAGGAGGGGCGGGCCCCCGAGGAAAACTCGTGACTTGAGTTGCTCCGGGGAGGGGCGTGGGGCGTGAGAGCGATCAGCCCCGTGGGCTCGAGAAAGGCGGAAGTAGCGCTTGACTTAAAGCAGCCATTGAGGCTTCACCGGCCTGGTGCCGACACCTCGGAGGGGACGCTGGTGCTGAACCCGGCGTGAGGTGAAGTCAGGATGGCGATGATACCAGACAGAACCTTCTGGAGCTGTTACATTCTGTAGCGATCACCCGGTTCATAGGAAACTGAGGCCTCTGTGTGGGAAGGGAGGCAGTGGTCCTGGCTCCTCCGTAATGGCACTAGCCACAACGCTTATATGTACACACCTTTCCCAGCGACGGACTTGTTTTTGAAGTTCCGTCCGTGTTTTAAACCAGGGACATGTTTATAACCTGGTTAATCTTGTCTACGCCATAGGAACGATATAGAGGGGTTCCAGTTTGTCAGGCCCATGTAGAGGAGGGAAGCTCATGCAGCAGCCTGCACTCCTCTACCACCACCCCAGAGGGGAAGAATCGAACACCAACAGAGGCCAAAGATGTCTCCGGAAGTAGTCAGCAAGGGACAAGAAGCTGGTTTTTAAAAATATACATGCGTTTTTTTGTTTTTATTTAAAGGTAACAAAGCTATTATACACCGAGAAGCTAAATTACAGAGACTAGTCACGTGCCTCGCCTTAGGAAACCTGTGAGAGGTGAGATGGAGGGGAGGAGAGGCAGGGGGTGGTGCTGTGCTCTGGGAAGCGATTTGGCTCAATAATGGAAGAATCAGGTAAAGTACATGCATTCACTAGTATGTAGTTGAAGAAAGTGTGGTGTAGTCAAATCATGGAGGGCTTGAGTGCCCAGGTGAGGATTATTCCTGAATTGCAGAGCCTTCTAGGAGCCTTTGCAGGACTTGAAACAGGCAATGACTTGGTGAGAACCTTGTTCTGGAGCAGTGGTTCTCAACCTTGGCTGCACATTAGAATCACCTGGGAATCTTTTTAAAATCCTCATTTCTGGGCCTCATCCTCCGGAAATTCTGTTTCTTTGTTATGGGGTGGGGCCACAACATTAGTAACAAAGAAACAGAATTTCCAGAGGGTGAGGCCCAGAAATGAGGATTTTAAAAAGTTTCCCTGGTGATTCTAATGTGCAGTCAAGGTTGAGAACCACTGTTCTGGAGGAATCTCCTGGCCGTGAAAGAAGGCTCTGACTGTAGGAAGGGAAGTTAGGAAAGACACAGCTGCCATCATTCCGGAGGGAGATGGGGGAGGGGGGACAAGGATAATATTCTAGGGCAGGGAGCATCGGGCTCAGGTGGAAGGTAATGTACACAGTGCTTGGTAAGTGAGAGCACTTAGGAGGCAGAGGAGAGTTACAGATAACATTTACAGCTTGGAAACCCCTGGACAGAAATAGCCACAACAGAAAAAGCCAGATGAGTAGATGGAGCAGGAGATGAGAGAAAGGAAGAATTCAGTGTGGACATATTGAACCCAGGGACCTGTGGGATAGTCAGGAGACATTCAACAGGCGATTGGAAATCTAAGTCTGAAGTTGAGGAGAGAGGAGGTTTTAATGCCACCAATGGTGGGCAAAGTTGTTTAGGGCCGACTCTTCTGCTGAAAACAACTAGAAGAGCTGGGGGGGGAAGGTTTTTAAAATCTCTCTGAAGGCATCAGGGGATGAACAAAGCAGTGAGGAATTATGGGCCCAAGTTCCAGGAGAGGAGGAAGCCAAGAACAGTGAGCCTACCATTTGGAGCCACTTTTCCTCTCAAGGTGATTGCTATTTCTAAAAGCAGAATCTGAACCCTAGTGGGTTTAACTCAGTGGAGGGAGCGCCCGCCTGGGTATGAAGGGTCCCGGGTTCAATTCTGCCCAAGGGCACATGCCTGGGTTGCAGGCTCAATCCCCAGTGTGGGGTGTGCAGGAGGCAGCTAATCAATGATTCTCTCTCATCATTGATGTTTCTATTTTTCTCTCCCTCTCCCTTCCTCTCTGAAATCAATCAATCAATCAATCAATAAAATAAAAAGCAGAATCTGAGAAGCTGAGTAGATAATTCAATAAACAAGGCTGGGGAGAAAATAGTTGACCTACCAAGGAGGAGCCCTGATAAATATACAGGCTTTTTGTTGGAACCCTGAAGGCTACTGCACACTAGGAATAAAGGTGAAAACAGACTAAAGCCCAACTTTAAGTGATACAGATCCTTGATTGAATTAAAGTGATTCAGGCTTTCTAGTGCCCTTAGCCTAGCACTGCCTGCCAAAAGCAAAGGTTAAATTCTCTCTGATAGGAAAAAATGTCATGCAAAAAATAACCAAGCATGTAAAGACAAAACATACTCAGAAACATTCTCAGGGATAGACATATAGTAGGAAGCCCAGGGGATTCAGATAATGGAGTTACCAGGCCTAGACCTTAAAATCGCTATGATTAATGAGTTCAATTAAAAGCAAATGAGGATTTCAGCAGCTTGAAAATTTGAGAACTAAAATTTACAGTAGCTAATATTAAAAATTCAATGGATAAATTTTAATAATGGATTAGACATAGCTGAAAAGAGAATTAGTGAACCAGGAGGTAGAGCAGAAAAATATCCAGGTTGAAACACAGAATCAAAAGGCTGAATAAAACACAGAAAAGAGCATTTAAAAAAACACATATGGGCCCTAACCGGTTTGGCTCAGTGGATAGAGCATCGGCATGCGGACTCAAGGGTCCCAGGTTCGATTCTGGTCAAGGGCATATATGTACCTTGGTTGCAGGCATATCCCCAGTAGGGAGTGTGCAGGAGGCAGCTGATCAATGTTTCTCTCGCATCGATGTTTCTAACTCTCTATCCCTCTCTCTTCCTCACTGTAAAAATTCAATAAAATATATTTAAAAAAACACAACACATATGGGATATGAAGAATATGATTTATAAACATATAATTTTAGCTAGGAGAGGAGAAAAAGAATGAAGCAATGTTAAGAGAGAAAATAGCTAAAAATATCCCAAAATTGATGAAATAAATCAAGCTTAATATCTAAGAATCACCATAAATTCCAAGCAATATAAAACATACCCTCCCTAGTGAATATTTAAGAAATCTGTGTCTCTTGTGCACTTTTAAATTGGCATCTAAATTTTTTCATAATAATTAGTTGCCAGGGATATAATTTCTAATATATTGTAAATATTAATCCTTTTAAATAAAATTGTTTCATTGCTCTTTTCAATGTATCCAGTGGCTTCAAAAACAGTGATTTGATACTATCCATTTAAAAAATACATGACAGCTGTTCATTAACCTTAAGAAATTTGAGATTCACTTTTGCTCCATGGACATATACTACCATTCCAATACTTGCCCCCTAAGTTCTATCCTATTAGAATTTTGTGCTTGAAAGACTTATTGATCGTTATAATACAGTAGCATCAATAAAAATCACTGATATAAAATCCATGGGGAGAATGTGTATATTTCTAGGGCTGAAATTCATGAATTTCAAAAGCAATTCTGTTGGGATTTATACTAGTATATAACCTTTTGAAATAACCAAGTACTGTCAATTATAATTTGCAGAATGCTATAATTAAAATGTTTATTTCAGTATGTGGAAAAAAAGACATCAATTTATACTTCTTTGTTACAAAAATATGTAACATAAATATAATTGACTTTTAAAAAATACCCCATGATCGTAAGATTCTGAATGTTAAAATTTTGTTTTGGATTGACATCATTGTAATTATTAACAGTATAAGCAACAAAAATACACCCAAACACTTTGTAATTATTAAATATAACAGGTAAAATTTGCCCTAACTGGTTTGGCTCAGTGGATAGAGCATCAGCCTGCAGACTCAAGGGTCCCAGATTTGATTCCTGTCAAGGGCATGTACCTTGGTTGCAGGCACATCCCCAGTGGGATAAAATAAAATATATTAAAGGGGAAAAAAAAGAACATGTATCCACAATTCTAAAAAAAAAAAAAAAAAAAAAAAAAAAAAAAAAAAAAAGTAAAATTTTATTAGAAATTCCTGTCTTAATGAGATAGGCTTGTATTATCTGTTGCTGTATAATAAATTATCTTGAACTTCGCATCTTAAAGTAACAGACATTTATTATTTCACACAGTTTCTGAAAGTCAGGAATCTGGAAGGGCTTAACTGGATGTTCCTCACTGTGGTTTTGATGTGCATTTCACTGATGACTAATGATATGGAGCATCTTTTTATAGGATTTTTGGTCATGTGTGTCTTGTCTCAGATCCTTTTTTTTAATTGTGGGGGGTTTTATTTTGCCTTTTATTGTTGAGTTGTAAGAGTTCTTTATATATTCTAATACAAGTACCTTGTCAGAAATGTGGTTTTCAAATATTTTCTCAATTTGTGTCATTTCACTTTAATAGTGTCCTTTGAAGAACAAAAGTTTTAAATTTGAATGATGGTTACTTATGTTTTTGGAATAATGTCTAAGGAACTATTGCCTATTTGAAATCATAAAGACTTACACCCGTGTGAGACAGATAAAAGTTTTCTAAAAATTCAAAATCAGAAATAAAAATGGGATCACTGAAAATTTTAAAGACATTATAAAGATCATAAGAGAATATATGTTAATGACTTTGAACATTTTATTTTATTTTTTTTCTTTTTAAAATATATTTTGTTGATTTTTTTACAGAGAGGAAGGGAGAAAGATAGAGGGCCAGAAACATCGATGAGAGAGAAACATCGATCAGCTGCCTCCTGCACACCCACCACTGGGGATGTGCCCACAACCAAGGTACATGCCCTTGACTGGAATCGAACCGGGGACCCTTGAGTCCACAGGCTGACACTCTATCCACCGAGCCAAACCGGTTAGGGCAACTTTGAACATTTTAATGAAACAG